CCGGATAATATGGAGGCGCGATTTGTCGGCGAAAGCCCATTACAGCCACTTGTACCAACGATCGAAGTTCTTCAGTCATAGATACTTCTAGCGACCGTCGATGGGTAACGGGATGAAGATCGATCTGAACGCAGAGAGCCAATTCTTCAAACTCAGTTCTGTTTCAGCCTCAACGGCTGGAGCTAATTTATGCAGAAAGCCACTGATTATTTCAGACCTCAGGTCGACCTCTTCCTACTGTTCTCTATCATAAGCAAACGCTATCCAGAGATACATGAAATTCACTGTTCCGCTGCTTCTTCGCTTATTTGCAGAGCCCATCGGGCAGACGAACCACAAGGCTTTAGGCTTTTCATTTTAGGCACGCTTACACGCATCCCAGCCTCCTTGCAATCATTTGCGAACCTCTGCACCGTTCATTCGAGGTCACTAACAGAGGATGCCAACAAAACAAGGTCATCTGTAAACAGCAACCTCTTCGTCTGCACATTCAGTACGTCGATATACACATGACTGTGGTTGTGTCTGACTATTCATGTGCGCAAGAGTAAGCATGCAGGGTTGGCAGAGACCAATGAAATGTCTCGACGTGACGATATTTATTCTTACATTACATCTAACATACTGACTGGATGACTAATGGCTCGCAGCAGCTAGCCATCAATCCCAAGCACGCCTGTAGGTTGTTGCGCAGGATCCGGCCATCAGCTTTCTCCAGGTCCACAAATCACATGTAAATCTGCACAGCCAACTCCCGCGATTTGTCAACAATCTGGCTAGGCGTAAAGCGAATATTTCATCAGAGGTGCTTCGGCTAGAGCTACTGCTGCTCTCATATTTTACAGTCAGTCCTTCATACTTCTGTGAGGAGGCTCAATAGGTAGCGCCTCGAAGATTGCAGCACTCTCTGCCGCATTGCTTTTTGAACAGGAGTACTATATTACCTGTTCTTTAGTCCTGTTGTATCTTTCCCGTTGCCACTGAAGTTTGACAGACACGTTTTAGTCACGATTTGCCTTGTTCGAATAAAGCAGTATGCCTTTCAGGGCGGATTTCATCGATTCTGGCAGCCGTGTCACTTTTGCAAGCATTTTATACTGACTCCATCGATTGAAAGATTAGTATCCTTTCCCTGCTGGTGATCAGACAAGACCTTCTGCAGTTACTTGGCATTAAACAGTTT